CCTTTATAAGTTCCCTGCTCAGCAAGGAGGAAGCTACGGATTTGATCAATCTTAAATTTATCATCTTTAATAAATAATTGTGGAGTGAGAATGAGTTTCACTCATTACTTGAGATGATTAATTTTATGTAAATATTTTAAATGCATATTTTAAGTTATAAATTTTATTTATAAAATAGATTCTCGCAATTAAAATATTCTATTAACAAGACCATCATCAAGCAAAATATTTACATCATTCATAATTTTAATTTTAATTCTAGTTTATCTTTGAATATTAGTATGGTATAAGTCTTGTTAGCTCCAATCCTATTAATGATTATGATTGCAATGATCGAATGTGATTCAGTCCCCTCAAATTTGACCTTCATTTAGAAGATCACACTAGTCGACTTGAAAGCATACATAGTTTAATGGTTTTGAATTTACTTATTGAAATTATCTAGACATTTATTAAAGATGGCCAAGTTTAATTTTAAACTTATTTTTAGCCAACACAATATTCTCACATGTGAATATTAATATATTTTTATGGCATTTGTGGGCATTCTATATATTTCAACCTATAAAAAAGCCTCATGCTCAAAATATTTACATGTTTTTAAGGTGATAAACATAGACAAACACTAGACTTGCTCAAACTTAGGTTGTTTACACACTTAGTTATTGGTTGGGTTGTGTATCATCTCTCTTAAAATTTAAGGTTCATACAACAAGGTCAGTATCTTTTTTAATTTCAATGATATACAATGAAGTTTTAAATTTGAACTTATTGATTTAATTAATAGTTATTATCATAATATGAACTCATTATTTTTAAATTTAAATTTAAATTAACTATCCATACTTCTATTAAATCATATATTTCATGTATATTAAATTAATATAATTCACAAATAAGAAAAGAGGTTTCATACGGGGCTGTCAGAACGGTTTGTTCGCGAACAGTTCGTGTTCGGCTCGTTAAGAAGTTTGTGTTCGACTTGTTGAACACGAACAAAGATTTGTTTGTTCGTGTTCGACTCATTTTGGCTCGAAATACTACTCATCAATTAAAAGTATAAGGCTACAAAATTTATATATTTATGAGTACTATTTTAAGAAAATTTAATTGACTATAAAGCTACAAAGATTTATAATTAATTAAAAGCATTAATTAAGAAAATAGAGTTAAAAGTATTAAATTAGATTCAAATGATGTTTTAATATAAACAATAATTTTTAAATCACGTCACAACCCTTAACATCTCATGATTACGTGATTAGGGTAGTCAAAATAATTTTTTGTTCATAAACAGCTCGTGTTCAGCTCGCTAATCAAATGAACTGAACACGAACACACTTTTTAAGCTTGAAATATAAATGAGCCGAACACGACCTGGGCCTAGACTCGCTTGTGTTCGGCTCATTTACACCTCTAGTTTCATGCACATCTTTTTTTTCCCGAGTTTTCAAGCACTTTATACGAACAACAATAACAGTAAAAACTCCTGCCATTCCATTTTCATCGTAGCAAATTTTAAATCGCTATAATTGTTAGCATTGAAAAGTCTTTTAACATAGGTTTTAAATATTTTATGGGTTTTTTTAATATTTTTAACAGCATTTTATATTAAAAAATCTTATTAGAATTAGAATAAAATTTTAAATTAAAATGTATAAAATATTATTTTAAATTTAATGTTAAAATAAACATTTATAATTTCCTTTGAAATTAAAACATATCATATTAACTTTAAATTCAAAATAACAATGTTATACATTTTAAAATAAAATTTATTTTAATTCAAATTACAATTTTGCAATACAATTAATAAATTATTTTAATTTTAAAATATTTTTTATTACTTGGAATGTGGGACTATTAATTAATTTAAAAATAAATTAATAGTGCATTAATGTCGATGTGACACATGAAGTGACAAATCATTTTTAAATGAAGCTTCCGATATCTAATAATATAATGAATGTAAGCATAACTTGAATCACAAGATTACCAATTTAATTCTAAAATAGTTCATATTAATATAGATTCTATTAACGAAATATAAATATATAATTATAAATAAATTATTTATTAGCTTATCAATATATTATATTGTATAGTTATGAAAAGTATTTCTTATTGAATATTTATATCAAATAAAAATAATATTTTTTTAGAATAAAATATCTTACTTCTGTTATAAGAAATATATCGCAAGCTGTGGGGTTGTCAAAAGAAAACTCGTTGTTTGCGAACAGTTTGTGTTCGGTCCGTCAATGAACTCGTGTTCGATTCGTTCGATAAGTAAACGAGACGAACACTAACAGATTTTTTTCGTTCGGTTGGTTAAACGAAGCAAACACGAACAGTAATTTGTTCGCTCGTGTTTGAATCGTTATTATTCGAAATATAAAATAATTTAAAATAATTTTGTATAAAAAATTATGATATTTTAAAAAAATTAAAATTTATAAATTATAATATATAATAATTTAATAATAATAATATATTAATATACTATATTAGTAATATACTAATATAGATATTATATATTTATATAATATAAATTACATAATTAATATAATATATTATTAATATATATTACTATTAGGAATGTCAAACTAGCTCTTCGTTCGCAAACAGCTCGTGTTAACTGATTCGTTAAGAAACGAACACGAAAAGTGACTTCACCAAACAATTTCGAACACGACCTTATTTCAAACAAATTACATTTCAAACGAACCGAACACGAACCACAAGCTCTGTTCGACACGAACCACAAGCTCTGTTCGTTCGTGCTCGGTTCCTTTACACCCCTAGTCATAACATACTGACAATTTTTTTTCTGAAACTTAATTAATTCTTGGTTCTTAGGCCAAAAATTAAGCTTGATGAGAAATTCATGTCACATACAGGCAATGCATGGCAGCAGGAAAACAGTTCAAACATTCTAAACAGGAGAAACAAAATGGGGGGATTTAAATACATACCAACAAACTCTTACATGCTTACATATATAACAACAAAAATTTTAATTTATATGACTCCTGGTGTCTGAATGACATCCAAACAAATGCATGAAAATACAAAAAGATTCACATGTAAAACACCTATAAATCTCTGTAATATTAGCAAAACAGTCAAAACCATCAGATCACAGCAGCCGGAAGTAGCACAGACAAGTGTAGAGAAAGATATGGGGGTGCGAATTATTGCTACAATATTGATAAGGAATCAATGATGAAAAGATGAATAAAAGAAAGTTAGAAATTTACAGACGCATCACACAGTTTTTGGGTATTTACATATCTCAGGCCTAATCTTTCATGTTAACACCATTTCATACACAATGTATGAAAATATGAAAGTTTAGGTTAGGTGGGAGAGATGTAAATGCATAAAAATTGTGTGGAACGTGTGTAAATTTTCCTAAAATTAAATTAATATTTATTTACACTGACTGCAACAAATATGACTATAACAAAGCGGATGGAAGACAACACCATTTCTCTATTACAGTGAGAAGCCATTGGAAGGGGCGTGGAAGCTGGTCGGAGGTAGGAGGTGAAGGAATTATGGGTAGGGGTAGTTTGGTGGGAAGATGTTTATGGAAAGCGTTCACCGCTCCTTCCACACCATCTTCATTCTCTATCTGCTTGCCCAACTCCATTGCTCGTAGCTTCACCTATACAAATATATTAAAAATAAGAGAGGTAAAACTTAGGTTCGTCTTGCATTATTCGGTCAAAATCTAGAAAACAGATTGAACCAAAGACGTTTGGTTGATTCGGTTTGGTTTCAAAAATGGATTTTGGGTTTTCGGTTTATAAAACTTAATATTCGGTTTTTTGATACGGTTCAATTATGCTTTTAATTTAAACAAATAAACCGAAAAACCAAAGAGGAATAGAGGATTCATGCAATATATGCAATTTTTTATGTTTGTTCGTAACCAAGATTTGACTAGCAATTAGATTTCGGTTTGGTCATGACTAAAAAATGTTTAAATCAAATTTAAATTTCGATTCGGCTGGTTCGGTCTTACCAAAATTTTGATTAGTTTAGGGTTTTCAGATTTTGGATTTCGGTTGTAATTGGATTGACCAATTTCAAAATGGATCAATCCAAATCGACTAAATACTGACCCGTATAACGTAAGAAAACGCAACAAAGGCAGATATAGAATGATGCTATGTGCACCAAAATTTCAGAGTGTAGAGTCGAGATAATAACCTCTGGTTCAAGCATAAATCTTATGGCATTAGAGAGACGTTCAACATTGAGCTCTGATATGGGAATAGGTGGTGGTCCAACTCCTTTTGAAACTATCCTTTCACCCCAGAAGAATTGGTCTCCAAAGAAGGGCACGACGGTGGTGGGACACTGCAAATTATAGATGAGAATTTAGTAATCAAATTTTATAGGAAGATTTACATACATATACCATATGTCTAACACCTAAACTTATATTTTACATATGTGCCACTGTACCTTTGCATGAAAGGTGTATTTCATTTTTTAAAGTTAAAATAGTGGAAAGATTTCGGTGGTATAAATGTAAAATGAGAAATTTCAGTGTTAGATGTGTAAATACATAGGAATTTGCTGGTATGTAAGTAAATGTTCCAAAAATTTAGGATCAAATTGGTCCCTATATTTTTTTTAATTATGTCCATTTTAGTCCCAAAATTTTACATTTATCCAATTTTGTTCTCTAAACTCAATAAATATAAACAATTTAGTCCCATGTCAACTTTGCCATTTTCTAAAATGGAATTTGATGGGAGTCTTTTATGAGGACACTTGGTGTTCTTAAGGTTAGTCCCATTTAATTGACCTAAAATATTGAGTAGTGAGATTAATCTTAAGAAATCCAAAATGCCCACTTAGAAAACTTCTCTCCACCAATTCCTAGCTAAAGAAATGGCAAAATTGAGTATATGCCAAAAAAGATTCATATTTGATGAGTTGAGAGAAAAAATTCAACACCTAGGAAATTCTAAGATTAAAATTGATGACCTAAAAATTTTTAGAAACATTTTGGTCATCTACTTTAAATGCAAAAAGTAGTTCTTCATGCTTGGTAACATCTTGCTCTAGATTATAGAATAACGCTTTTGAAATTTCAATTTGACCAATACCATGCTAATAAAAGCACATAAATATATCGGAAAGAAGATTACCCCAGCTCTTAGTCCTGCAGCTGTTGTACCAGCCCCACCATGGTGAACCTAAACAAATTTTCAAACATTATATTAATCAAAAAGTATGGCAAAGTACCAGTTAAAAGCTTCTTCTAGAATACTTTTACAAGCAGGTAAGATTTGAAAAAGAAGTAAAAAGAAAAAATAAAGAACAAATTAGATTTGAACAAACAATTTGCTATATTTTTTAAAGAAGATTAAATACAAGATTATTCCACAGGGATGGATATGCATATTATTTACTAATAGAAGACTGCATTGCATCATCTCATTTATAATTCAGCTTCCAGCAGCTTCCAAATATTCCAGCAACAATCAGAGCTAGCATCACCAAAAAAATAAGTGACACAGATCCTCAAGTTCTTAAAACTTATCCCTTTAATTGGCCAAAAGGAACTATTACTTCATAAATATCTTATTTTTCATGCAAATTTGAGGTTTAGTAGAAGGCATCTATCATACAAATTCCATATATCATTTCAATTCACCGTTACTTCAAATACTCCAGTTTTTCATACCAAGCATAAAAAATTTAACGGAGCATGTGTAAATTCTGTGTCATTTGAGTTGTACATTTTGAAAAGTTACACTGAGGTGTATAGAATTATGAGAGCTAAGGAAGTAGATTAAGTTCTTCACTAAAATTCTTATCAAAATGATTAATGCCAAATGATTGGATAAGAAATATTTAGATGTAGTCTCTAAGAAAAGAGAAGATGCTCACAAGTGCAGTAATTAAAGCAGAATCAAACAATAAAAAATAAATCTCTTTTAGTTTTTTACAAAAGAGATTTATCATGAGCGCAATCTTCTATAAGAGAAACCAACAAAGAAAAAAGAGACCATCTAAAAAGGCCAGAATTGACTTGTTGAGCATTAAATATTTTCCATAGGTATTTAGGCATTTTAAAGTTCTCAAGATATTTATGTATTTGAAGTAGCTAGTAGTGGCAGCAACAAGAGAGTTACAAATATGTTTTTAAATTACAGAAGGGTTAAAGCAAAATCAACAATAAATCCATATAATAAGTTGGATATGAATATGTTTCCAAAATATATTTAAAATGCAAAACGGTTTTATATATTTTTCCTAGAAATAATTTTGATAGAAAGTCCTCTTTATAAGTGAGAAGTTAGAGCAATAAAAAACATATTTAAATAAAATTGAGTTTCTGATTGATAAAATAAAATTTAATTAGAAGATAAACAATTTTAATGAATTTAATATTGATAATTATACATTAATCCAACTGTCAAGAGCCCTAAGCAATGCCAAAATCAATGCCTACTGTACTAACACATCAACCTCTCATTTGCCGCACAAACCTCCAGCCACTTCTTTCAATGCCATCACCCTTTCATAAGCCCTTGTAAAATTATATTTAATTTACACATTGATAGGCCACCTCCAGAATCGTGAAACCAGGCCCCTATCTACTTTCGGGAGTATCTTGAGAGGTAAATGAGCCAGTTCCATCACCATCACTTCTATGAACAAAACTAATCTTCTAATCCTTAAGGAATAGTTTTTGCACCGCGAGGTAGTTGATAAAAGACATAATATTATAACATGTCATAATCTACTTTGTTTGGACTAGTAATTTTGGATATATCAACGCCTACCATAACAGGATTATTTATCTAATAAAATAATCAATGTTTATTTATTTAAAAATTAATAGAAATACCTACGGACCTGCGTTTATCATAAGTGAAATAAGCCTTAAAAATCCTATAAGCAAGTTTTTAATGCACACAAAATCCACAACATATAATTAGTACTAATACCAATAGAAAGTCTTCAGTAATATATGAAAATAGTTGATGACACCCACCACTGCAGTGCATCGAGGAAACAACCAATCATGAGGGCAATCATCTATGAAGAAAATATCCGAAGAGTCTTCAGAAACTGCAGAAAAGTATTGACAAATCAGAATAGAGCTAACATTGAGGTAAGCCAATAATAGTTAGAAGAGCTACTCATAAATATCATCGCAAGAACATAAATATTATCAATGAATGAGCAATGGAACATAGACTTTGAAAAGAATCATTCACTGAAAAAAATCATTCACTGAAACAGGATATTTTCATTATTAAGAAAATAAGCATGTTTTCACGGTAAAATCAAACATGCATGATAGCAAAAGCCGGTCAACAGCTAAAGATATTAATTAATAAGCGACAATATGGAACACCACAAAAGCTTACTTTGAGCTAAGTAATCAAACAAAATGCCAACTAAAGCCCTTAACTGCAGATAACGCTAATGTGATTGTTGACCTAATTTTTGTGAGGTCTTGTCTTCTCCTCCTAGCCTAGATTCTAGCTCTAGAAATTCCTACTGAGCATCCTAGAAAACTAGAATTGAGACTCACCTTTTTAGAAATTCCAGCCACTTCTTATTTTTCTTTGATGTCTAACATTTATGGCACAAGACCATCGTCTTATGAACGAGCGGTTATGGGCTATTTTGTGAAGACTCAGAGAAATAGAAACATGCATGGCACATCGGCCAACGCATACACGTATGTAAGAATATATCTTTGTGATCTAGAGTTTTTATTTTTTTTTTTAAGAAATGAAATTTTATTATTAGTCAATGAAGAAAATATATCAAAATAACGTCACATCAGTGTCATCAAGAAAGAAAAAAAAATCAAATAAAGCTTATATAAAGCATTGAAAAACATGACATTATTCTAAATAGTACCTCGACTAGAAAAAGCAAGTTGAATTTTTTTATCAACTGAATCAACAAAACTTTAAATAAATTATTGAGATTAATCAAACTTAAATTATAGTAACTCACCACTTCAGAATAATCTATTATAGTATTGATGAATACAACTATAATAATACGTGTAAAAAAAATATTAAGAGTAGCAGCAGGATCCTCAATAGGCTGGTGAAAATCAAACCCAGACATGGCCTTAGGAAAATCAGAGGACTTAAATTTCCGAAAAAAAGAGACACAGAGGGGGTACTATCAATGACAACAAATGAAGGTGTTAACTCAAAGGATGAATCTAGACTCCAGATGAATATTCAGATCATAAGAAAACCCTAATGAGACCAATGTGGAGGAAGCAGCACCCAGCATATTGGAATCAATTTGATCATAACAATTTTCATACTGGAATCGTTTTGATTATGAGAATTTACGGCACAACTATTATTTGTAGTAGTAATCAAAAGATCTAACCTCATATGTGAAACCTTAGAAGACAGTTTCCTTGATCGGACAAATCTTTAAGCAATCAACAAGATTATCACCAAAAAACTTACAAGATTTCCAATATGAGGGCAAACCTTTGAGTTGCATTTTGTTGCTAGTAGTTATGTGAAGTAGTGCCAATACACACCTGAGCACAATGGGTAGAACTGTCCATCTCAACAAGGTAATGAATAACAAATGATCGAGAGAGTTTAGCAATGGCAGCATCCATTAATAATGATTTGCAAAAGCTTAAAACCAGTAAGTATAGTGTGGATTTGTTAACGTAGTGGTCTCAGAGTTGAGGGTAAGCTACCCAAACAAAAAGTAAAAGTAGCTCCATAGAAGTATCAAAGTAAGGAATCAACACCAAGGG